GGTAACTATGAAACCAAGAGATTACCGCCAACGGTAATCTCTTGGTACAAAATTATCTCCAAAGATATGTTATGAGTGCGTAAAAGTGCAATCAAAGTGTCAAAATCATTGCTGAAATCAAGCAATGACGTTACAGTATTTATAGTACAGGGATTTCCCACTTTAAGATATTTATAGATAGGTAATTGGTGTGGTTTTCTGATACGTTATAAAAAAAGTGCTGAAACCGGGTAGCACGAAAGACCGTTTTAACCATGTTGGCCGAATTGGTACCAGATTGTTAACCTGCAAGTTACAAGTAGTTCTAGAAAATATTAAAAGATTCTGATACTCGTTTAACTCAATTCGACACATGTACGTAAAGATTTACTAATGTTGAGCACTGTAAAACATACGAAACATTTTTGTATTCACATTAAGGGTACGATTAAAACGTAAACAAATTACATTTCTGTGTACAATGGATTAATTTAAGCACACAACGATGAAATCGTAATTATTGTAGGCTTGCAACTTGCAAGCTTACGAAGTGCTTTTATGTATGTACAAAAATGTATTTTCTGACACATTTGTCATGGAATGATATGTACAGACGTACTTATAACGTATGTTTTGTAATACTCCACTTAATTGAGACAAACACGAAAATGTTCAAATTAGCAGTGAAATCATCCACTGTACCTGTTTTTGAAATCACAAACTGCGTATTACTTTTATTACAAAAAATTATTAAATAAATTGGTTTAATTATTAATACAAAGATAGATTGTATTGTATTTGTTTCCTTTTTTGGTGTACAACAAAGAATTTTTGTACTGTATTGTACCAGAGCAACGAATTTAACTCCGGGGGCACCCAGAATACCCAGATCATTTTTTTTTTCATGGGTTCGCCACTTAGAAAAAAAATCCTTCGATCCGGCCGGATTCGGAGCAGACGGCACGGTTTGAATGAAAATATTTTACCAAATACTATATAATCCTCCCGTCTCCTTTCATTTTCGTGACTACAGAAATATCAAAGTTGAATTCCGCAGAAAATTACTTACTACCATTATTATCGATTAACGTAATGTTGATTAAATCACAAAATTATAGTTCAGCTACTCGTATCTAAGTAGATACGTTGAATCCATTACTTATTTTTTCCATTTACATCATATTTTTACTTTTATACTACAAAAAAATGTATTTTGTACTGATATAAATATCAGTCAATTAAAACACAAATTTTCATTGGAAAAGTGATAATGTATAGTGGTATATAGGTCAGGACGCAGGTCCAGGGTATTATATTTTTTACTTGAATTTAGTTATCGAGTTCTTAGGTTTTCGCGATTGTTACACATAGGAAATGAAACTATTTTTCCGGATTTAAATCGCGTATATTTGTTTCTTCAAACAAACCGACGTTTCGGGCCCTTTACAGGTCCCATGGTCACGGTTGACTCAGTCAACCGTTGAATTTAGTTATCAATAGTGATTTTAGGAAATTTCGTTTAGTTTGTGTACATTTTGTTATAGAAGTTCTCTCATATAATACGAATAATTCAAGTGCGCATGTATCATCTGCTGGATAACAGATTAACATTATACTCTACAAAATGAGTTGGAATGCCTAATTAATAAAATAAAAGTTTAATATGAATATATGATTTAATGACTTCACTTTTCATCAAGTTTCACTGAATTTTTATGTGTTTGTGGCATTTCGCAAATGTAACATTTGCTCCAGGACGTGGTGGTTCTCTAATCTCAGAGATCGCTACAAAGATCACTGTTTGTCAAAGACCAAATAGTAGTGTAATTTGCTTGCATACGACATTTAACCCAGTATACAGTGTACAGTGTTAACAAAGGAAATGAGTTCATTTACAAAGCCAATTAGAAGCACCGCCACAATTGCTTGAGTGAGCTATTCTCACGGGTACAGTACCGCCACGTAAGAATTGACGTGTGAAGAATTAATTATTATTTTATCTATTATTCACCTCAGGAAATATTTAAGATAAGTTAATATAGGATAGAAAAGAATATTTTTATTAGTTTACTCACATTTACATAAAATAGTGGAATCACTGAGCGCTGAGCGGTGACGATGGAGACCTCGTCTGGATTTCGGAGCCGATCAATTTGCAAATGATTTTTTTAAATTGAATGTGATCTATGTGCTCTGAAAGCACAGTCCCGAATACAGGCGTATCACAGCTTAATTACGATAGAAAGAACAACAACAACAAAGGTATTGAAGCATTTTTTTCAAATTTAACTTTTTTATTGTATACATTAATGTCCTAGGGCCCCGTGTACATTAAAATGTACTTTATATTATGTGATATGATTCAGACCGAGACAATATTATGATCATGTAAACTCTTAGTGTACATCATCGTAATGAAAACATCGCATTCAAATTTAACGCTATATAATAATAACATATGATCATAGGGTATCTGATAAAATTACGTGTTTCATACAAAACTGACAGCACAGTTAAAACGTGTAATTAATTATATTTAGTACATTGTAATGTACATTGGCCCTTTTGCGCTTTTCCCTTTGTAGTTTGCTGAGTCTTGAGAAGTTGATATAAGCGTTATTTAATATTCGTTATAATGACAACATGATAAAAGGGTTGTCAAGGAGAAATGGAGCATTTAAAATATTATAAACAACAAAACAAATTAGAGCGATGCCACACGGGCGTCACGTCAGCGTTGCGTCGTCGTACCGCAACACCCCTCCCCGCTTTAATTCCCGCCCCTTGTCCAATGGGTGCGCGTTCCGTCACCGCGCGCTATTTCAACGCACTATGTCGTTCTAATTTACATGTACTACAACAATTGCGTCAACGCAACGCCAACGCAGCGCCCGTGAGGTATCTCCCTTAGCGACAATCCTACAACGGCGTATATCACGCCGTGAGTATGAGGTTATCAATTGTTGCTTGTGCAATAAGCCTTCAAAATAGATGCTTATAGAAATGCTGCAATGGCGCGATTGCGGCGCGGCGGCCTCGCGTTTGTAGCGCTTAAGTAATTTTTAGTTCACTATTTGTGACGGTGGCACTGCAACTGCGTTTCTAAATCTTGTATGAAAATTAGTAGTGGCGTCAATGTAGCGTTTCTATAAGCGTCTAACTTGAAAGCGTAAGGACGCTTTCACCACGAGCCGTGGCGCTCCTAGCGAATTCGCTTGATGCTACAAGCGTCAGCGTCGAGCGTCAATTACAAATATATGATTACTCTATACCACTTACCTCGTGTAAATTTTGGGAAAGATTACAGAAACTTTTCTCCCGACCAAATCCCATGCTAGCTCGATGGGATAAGCAAGCAACTCTAACAACGTGACATCGTACTCGTAGTACACATTCATCACCAGCCTTTCAGTGTATACTTGAACATGATATCTTGACCCAGCCAGCCAGCCAGCCAGCCAGCTTTCGCTAACGGATTACCATGGATTGCACAAGTTCGTCGCAGTATTGTTCCGTATTCAAATTGTCTTGTATCCGAATGAGATCTGTTCTGACACTTAGGCAAATTCCATTTTACATCAAGAACTGCCTTGGTATGGATGATTACTGTGAGTCAACTTATGCGACCAGAAACTCGCCAAACACAAACTAAACTCGTACAGTGCAAATGTGACGTCATCTCACGGATCTCCGTTGCGTGAAAATGAACTTCATGCAATCTTCTCCCAGCTGTTTTTTAACTAATAAGAATTTGGTACTGGGACTACTGGGACTAGGTATCTACAGCTCGACAACTGGTAGAAGGACTGCGTTCTACCAGTTGTCGAGCTGTACCTAATAGGAGGTTGTCACCTTGCAATAATATTTAGAAAGTGAACTTGTCACTAGGTAGTGACCCTGTATCTTTCCCGGTCGGTTACATACTCCCGTGGCCCTGTAGCGTGCCCATAATCGACAAATTACGCTTGGATGCGAGTTAACAGCGGCCGTAATATCACGCTGATTGCCCCCAGATTCTAACGTTCCCACAACCCTAAGCATCTTGTCCTGCCTTAAATGACGATGTGACATGCTCAAAATCACAAATATTACCAAAAATACTGTAAATTCGTACCCTTAATAACAATAAAACATAAAGCTACGTGATCATACATCAAAAGTGTTTTATTCACATGAAAATCGTGGAAATAATACTACGGCAGTGATTGTATCAATACTGCACTAGGTTCTTACGATATGGGGTCCTTCAGACGAGGCGTGAAGAGGCATCTTGTAGGCATGCAGAGTGGAGGTGGCTAGTACGGTGATTGTACACTGTCCATTTAACATCTGGTGGAGCGGAGTCATCTGCCTGTCAAGTATAAAAAAAGAAAGGGTCCTTCACGTTTGGATTCCATTTATCATTTTAATCAGGTGGAATGGAGTCATTTGCATGAATAAAAAACTAACGAATAAAAGTAAACCTATATTATGAAACAAATGATGCATATGATGTCAAATTTTATAACTCCCGCGTTTGAGTATAAAAAGCTATCGTCTGATTTCGTTCGTAGAACCTTGAAACCTCGCTCCTGAAAAGTTATCATTTTACAGGTGTGGCCTTATTATATCACGAGTGCGAATTGTTTAACACACAAAAAAATGCAAAAAAACCGTTCGGCCACGGAAGGCAATTAAACCCAACATTATCAATTCCCGTTACTCCCAGAGCAAAATACATTTATCTTTTATTATTAAGTCATTTCAATGTAGTATGTTATTAGCAAATTTCTGAAAACTGATTGAACCGAGGTATAATTCCATTATCTATATTATCGATTAGCGTGGCGTTTATGACTACAGTAATTTTCTAGTCCAGTCGATACTGAATATCGATAAGATTAAGACAAGAAATATTCTTCATTAAACGTTGTTTATGTGACATTTGTAATTGTGTTCTAGCTTTAACGGAATCTGTGTATCGAAAAATAGTTTTTAAATTTGTGTTTTAAATGTTACATTATTGAGCATCCGATGAAAATTTGTCAAGAATGTTTATTTATGTAATACTTGTGTAATGAAAATCTAGGATCTGGCAGAATGGCTCAGACACCTTAACCTGAACAACACGTCTTAAGAGGACGAAAATTTAGTTACTAACTAGTGCAATTTTATGGTCATTACAATAATTATTCCGGAGTGTTGTCCAGATTGAAATCGCATCATGGTGAGTTCCTTATTGTGTGTAACTTGTTAAATGATACTTATGTTTAACCATCATCTATTGGGAATTTCCCACGAACGAATACTTGTGTTGTTATCTCTTACACTTGAAGCATGCAACTTCAATAACGACCTTCAAGGTTAATACAAAAAACAATGTACTATCTCATTAATAATTAATCTATGTATGTACGATAATACAAGTGGTAGTTACGACAAAGTTTTATTGCTTGAATTTCAAAAGCCGATAATATCGAATAAAACGTTTCAAATTATAATATATATAATGACTTATAATTACGTGTAAAATGACTGTGAATTGTACCGCCAAGTAGCAATGTGAGCATTCCGGTTCCGGCACACGGGATTTGTCAACTTAGGATGAAGGTGAAAGAGCAGTGCCTCTCAACTATAGAATTTAAAGCTCTGAGTAGCATTGCAATTGTTATGGGTAGGCGTGTCGCTTACCACCATGTACACGACTTTTTCATCCCGTCTCGATAGATCAGTTGTCGACCGATTTCTTTTCAGTTTTATTCACAACACTTGAATCGAACATCAAACTGTCGTATACCGAACCGAAATGACGTCACACTCGTACGATTACTCTAACTTCTTTACTTCGACCGGCAAATACTACAAATGTTATTCAGAACACTGTTATTGAATAAAAGTTACCGAACGTCCTGTTGTTTACAAAGCAAGAATGTAATATGTAAATCTCTTATTATTTTAAATAAAGTCTGAATTTTGTTTAATTTTATTAGGTTATTTTAATGCAAGAATAATGCATTCCTATATTTTAGGTCTTTAAAGTCTTAAAAATGTATATAAAACGATTTTCATTTTTCTTATAACCTATTTCACCGACTAACTCCATTAACGCCGTTGGGTAACGATATCGTATCCGAATCCAAGTCGAATAACTCGAAATGTTCTGAATGGCTCGAAAGATTCAATTAAAATATCGAAGAGTGCTAAATCGCTGTCCTGGGTCCTTACCATGAACTCTTATTACGATTCAGTTTAGGACCTAAAATGGATTGTTGTGAGACAGCGCTACATGAAGTGTATATCACCATCCCGCTTTTTGTCGTTACAAACCTATACTGAACTGTAATAAAAGATTATGGTAAGGCCCCTGGTCCGCTTTGAGCTTGGTTTAGAGGCATTAGTCAATCGAAGGATACACAAGTCTAGCCATAAAAATCAAACGGGTGGTATTACGTCTAGTAACCACTCGGAAATATGAAAATGATAGACGTGTATTTTAGTTTGTTATATTTCTAACCATAACTACAAGTTCCAGATGTCAGTCATAAAATAAATATTTATTTTACTTCCATTTGTTCGATCGACTTGAAATTGTTATTTTTTTGTGATACAAAATGACGGATAAACAAGTCTCAAACTCAAAACTCAAACTCAAAATAATCTTTATTTCATAGGTAAGCATTATTACACTTGAAATCGTCACAATGGTTAAACTCTACCGCTCATTCGTAAGGCAGATTCCCCTGAGAAGAATGAGCAAGAAACTCTAGGGGTTGCTCTTTGTAAATAGCATTTACAATATTTTTTTTTTTTTATTTGAAACATCAGAGATCGAGACTACCTCCATGAGCTAAACGGGTTACTACCACGGATTTTTGTCATCCAAGTACGCAGAAGTTGTATAATAACCTTTAGTATAAAGTTTTTGTTTCACTATAGTTTTAAACCTCGAGAAAGGCAAATTTTGTATATCAACTGGAATCTTGTTATAGAAGCGTATACATTGCCCCTTAAATGATTTTTTGACTTTGTGAAGACGACTATCAAGAAAAGCTAGTTTATTTCTATTCCTCGTATTAATGTTATGTCTGTCACTATTTTTCATAAATAAATTACTATTCCTTTTAACATAAATTACATTTTCATAAATGTACTGTGAGGCTAGTGTAAGAATGTTAATTTCCTTAAACTTATCTCTCAAAGATACTTTGGGGCCCAGATTGTAAATTGCCCTAACTGCACGTTTCTGCAGGACAAAGATTCTATTGATATCGGCGGCATTACCCCAAAGCAAAATGCCGTATGTCATTAGACTGTGAAAGTAACTGAAGTAAACCAATCTAGCGGTTTCGACGTCTGAAAGTTTCCTTATTTTTTTAATCGCGTACACTGCAGAGCCGAGCCGTTTTGATAACTTACTTATATGGGGACCCCATTGCAATTTAGCATCTAACGTTATACCTAGAAATACAACTGTATCCACAAGATTCAATTTTTCATTTCTAACTACAATGTTTGTAACCGTCTCTCTAACATTGGGTAATGTAAATTTCACACAATTTGTTTTTTTCTCATTAAGAAGTAGGTTATTAACAGCAAACCAATCAATTACTTTAGATATAGCATTGTTCACATCGTCATAGGAACATTGGTGCCTTTTAACTTTAGTCTTGTGCCTAGTGTTAAACGACACGCCTGCACTTAGCAGTTGCAGTGGCACTCAGAGCTTTATATCGCAAAGATCTGAGGGACACTGCCACTGCGCCTGTCACATTGAGACATACATATAAGTTAACAAGTCTCATGTGCCTGTAATTTCACCAAACCAAAATCCGATGATAAAATAACATGAGTAACTTTGATCTGAGCTGGACAGTCTGAAGACTACCCAATTCTTCAGCTACTTGCAGTAGAATTACTGCTTGAGCTCTTTTTTGCTTTTGTTTTATCACACACATAGTTCCGCACTAGAGAAATCTCAAATTACACCCACAACCACAAATTACACCCAAACTCATGAGATAAATAAGAAATTAAAAGTATTTCTTTTTTTTTCTTTTTTTATTTATAAATTTTATTTTATTTATTTATTTATTTTTATTCATGAGAAAAATAAATATAGTCCATGCAAATATTTCTATCGGTCAGGCAATTGAACAAAGAACCTCTGCGTGGCAGTCCAGTATGGTAACCTTTAGGCCACGAAGGCAGTTAAATTGGTTTCAACGAGTTGTTAACTAACGGTAGTTTTATTGACTTTTTGGCGTAAACACTTTTGTGTTTTTTTCTTAATTTTGATGCAAGAGTTATTAATAAGTAATAATATGCATGGTAGCGTGGGGAGAGGTAGACCTCGGCGAACATATCTCAATCAGATTGAGGATGCCCTTAATAAAGGCCGAGTTAAAAGTACCAAGAATAAACAGGCATGTTTGAAGAGATTGATGGAAGTGGAAGAGCCGAAGGAAGTTTTGCAAGTGGAGGTCCATAGTCTCTTTCTACCCCCTTGGGGGACAGGCGTCATGACATGTATGTAAGTAATAAGTATTAAAATCATCATCATCGCCTACAGCGTGACTTCACCCACTGTTGGGTATATGTATGTCTTGGTTTGTGCCTCCACAACTATCTCGCGCTAGTATCAACCATCTAAGGCCTGCGACTTTGGAGATATCGTATACCCATGTAGTTGGTTTTTTCTCTCCATCCCCTTATTTATTTTCTTTTGCAGTGTTGTAGTAATCCTATGTTTATTTATTTACTATTTATTATTTATTTTCCTACTTAAGTATATTTTAAGTACAGCTTATTATTATACATATATTAATATCTACATGCACATACAAAAATACATTCTTATAATGAATGTATTTTTTTTATTAATGCCTAGTGTATTTATTTATAACACTTCCTTTAGAAGATATTCTTTGGTTGCATCCCCCTATCCAGCTATTAAACTGCTATCCTAAAGTTTCTTGGAAGAAATTGCTACTTATGCACATTAGCATCCCCTGTTATACTTACGTTACTGTTTTTTGTGTTGTCATTGTAATTTTTTAATGTGCAATAAAGAATATTTCATTCACTCATTCATCCAAGATGTCTAACGTTCTTATAACTGATTTTGTAACCACCATTCGCATGTACACGTATTTAGTTGTAATTGGGTACATTATATTGTCTATTTATTCAGTGTAATGTTTCATTCTGTTGCATTGTCAAAAAATGAATAAATATTTCATCGTTTAAATTTAATAAAGAAAGAACACTTTAAAATAGGGAAACAAATAGACATAATAAGATTATTGACTTACAACCTAAACATTAGATCAATAAATTCTGTTATTGATAGTGAAAAATTAAATTTCTGTAGTCTGTTTATTTCTGTTACACATTGTATATAAACAAAATATAAACTGTTAAAATTCCTAATGAAGATCACCATAACCTACGTACCTACGTATCACTCATAATAGAAGGTACATTGCAAGTAACATCTCCCAAAATGCGTACTACCTTGGTTCTCTCAACATCAGAACCATGAGCTTACGGGGTCGATATGTAGTGTAAATTATTAAATAATTCGACGTCACCTCGAATCGATATAAAGGAGCAAAGGCTTTTGTACATTTTTTTATTATACTATAATGGTCTATTACATTCCTATTATAAACCCCTTATTTTTTCACGCTAAAAAAGAAATCTATTTTAATGTAACCATATATTTCTCCAGGGAAAATATAAATTACACACGAATAAAATAACACACTTCTAAAACATTACAATTTCAATTTGACATAAATAAAAATAAAAATAAAATAAAACGCAGATTAGTTATTTTCATCGTTTCTGTCATATATCTTTTGCAAATAAATCCATTACGTGCAGGTTCATTCAAGTTTTCACTGTTTTTATTTTTCGTGTAAAGTTGATATTTTGTTAATTCGAGCTTGTTCAGTGTGGCAGTCGAATTTTATGTGGAAAGTAATGTAATGTAGAGCGCCTCGCGCTCTTCTGGCATTCTAAAATAGAAGTCTATCCGAAAAACATCTGATTCGTGTGAAAACGTACTAGCGTCTAGCGTGCAAAACCGAGGAATCGTATACTAGTGCAATGTTGACACATAACTATTAGAAAGTTTTAAAATTTTCTATATCCAATAGAAAGCTCGGTGCCTTATGCACAATAAAATTAAGTACATTTTGAGTACAGCCATGTAAAACGTGTAAAAGTTAGCTGTTCTCATTTGGGCCACCATTCTAGATAAGCAGCGATATATTTTGAATTAAGGTACAGTACGTCTACCATGAGTTTATATTTATAGTTGTAGCTGTACTTCGTTTTGTTAGAATTAGTGAGGTATTTCTTAGGACAGGGAACAATGAGCCACGCAGTAGCAAGTCAATCTATAATTCAATGATTGTATGAATCTCCCACCACCATCATTTACAGAAATACATATACTTGTACAATAATAACTATACATCTACCTCCACTACAATTAGAAAAACGTAATCAAAGAATCAGTGATCGTGAACATTTTCTTCACACAACAAGTTACAGTAAAAGAAGTCATCGTGAGAATTGATGATATCTACATTTGCAAATGACACGACAACATGTTATAATACAATTTTTTAAAAGATCCGTTCAGTATCTCTGTTTGTTTAAGTTTTTTATAGTGCAAGACACGAAAGTTAAACATGTAAAGAATAGACCTTTTGATTTAATACTAAGTTAATACTAAGAGGTAAAAATAACTTAATATATTTAATGATTACATAAAGGTATGGTTGAAAATTGTGTTTTACGGTATTTATTAAATTTTCTGCTTACAAAATGACCTTATGTCTAATGCAAAAAAAACGAAGTATAGTGCTCGCATAAAATACTTGACTTTTTTTTATAGTAAAAAGCGACCTGGTACAAGAAGAAGTAAAATTTTGTATACAAACGTCTTAGGTCGAGGTTTTCTTTTGGCGTATGGTTATTAGCTCCTAATAAAAATTGAGTTATGTAGGATTCGTAATAAATATAAATTTGAATTTAAGCTGCAAAGTTCATATTCAAACTATATTAACCTTTAAACCTCCTTACATATGGTGTACTCTACTTACATAAGACATAAACATGACACAATGGCAGAAATCAATGGACGTCAAGATCCCTGTTGCTATTGTCTATTAAAACGTATAGTGCAAGTAACATAGTGTGAATGACGTTAATCAGTGATTAATATAATTCACACTATGTGATAGACGGGCTATTAAACTTTATTTCTTATATCCTAGCGTTTAAATCGATTTGTTTATCTATAAACGGTTTTGGTGACACTAAGCTTTGAAATTTTATTACACCTTTGGAATATTCCTTTTGTTTTTGATGCGAGACTTATAAGTAAAGCGTGACGACCTTGGTGAGTGCGCTAGATGCAGAGGTACTGGTTTCGATTACCGGTATTATAAATTTGGAAAATTATTTTATTAATTTAGTGCTGATCGGAGTGTTTGCTTTAGTGCCTCGGATTTATTTCGTTAGTTACTTAATACAGGGAAATCCCAACTTTACGATCTATGTAACCAAAGTTGTTGCCAGGTACATTAAGAAATAAGTATCGTTACATATAACTATTGACTGGCGATACATTAAATGGAGTTAAAATAATTATGCTGTTCTTAATACTCGTGCCTTACTTTTGGGTTGTTTTTGAGGTTTGATGACGGACGGCCGCAGCAGAAAAGCCTGTAGCATTTATTTATTTATTTATTTATTTATTTAGTTGTCTTACAAATTATTAGTAGCAGTAGAGCTCCTTGTGAAAGAGTTCGTCCAGGGTAGAGTACCACTGGCAGTAGCCACTTTACCTATTTATGCCGCCAAGCAGTAATAACAGCATTAATGTGTTCCGGTTTTGAAGGGTAAGGGTGCTGGTGAAATTACAGGCGCATGGGACTTGTCAACTTACGTCTCAGGGTGTCGAGCGCAGTGGCAGTGCCCCTTAGATCTTTGCAATTTAAGCTCTGAGTGGCACTGTAACTGTTATAGACAAACATGTAGCTTACCATCAGGCTCACGACTTTTTCGTCCCGTCCCTTGATGTTATAAAAAAAATTGTGAGTTTGTATTATATTCACTTTTCAACGAGTAAATTTATTAATCCTTAGATTGTGTAGGTGGCTCTACAATTATTAGATATTAGTGCTAAAAGATCCCTTATATACTTATCACAATTCTGTCACTTCGATTAATAAATGAAAATAATTAAAAGGGGGAACTATACCGGACTGCGGGCACAGTAGTTCACCAAGCTGGAGCAGTAGAATTTTGGGCTAGATACTCTATGAACGCCAGACGAAGAACCAGTGTTCAATCGTCGCTGCATAAGATCTTTGCTGAGGAAACCGAGCGCACAGTTGGCAACCAGTGGAATTGTAAATATTTAAGGGTGAGTCTTTGTTGTATCGTTTTTATTTGCTTCTATAGTTTTTTTAGTGACATTGTTTCTACGATGTTACTGCAATCAACTAGTTTATTTGTCAAAATTTACAAAGTCGACGCCAAAACATAAAAAGCTTATTGAACTAAACAACATGGTCCCACATTATTGCAGATTGAAATTTTTATTCTGTATATTATATGTATTTATAGGATATTGCATCGATGCATTCGCGCGTTTGTATCGTCAGGTATCTAGATCCACCCAGTGTACTATTGTAACCTTTTTAATGTAGTTTTTAATAAGGCATGTAACACATTGGTGTCATAGTCGGTCTATTTTATTTTTATTGAATATCAGATTTTTTACTACCATTATATTTCGTGGATAGCCATATTGAGGCAACAAACGCTGGTCCAAGTTCAATCGGTTCGAAGGATTTTTTCTTTGTATTTGATCAATCTTTGTGTCAACTATAATAACAAACTAGTGGAGAATTTTCACAAAAAAATACATGAATATCAAGGTAGTCAAAACATCACGAAATTGAATAAAAAAAATAAAATATGATTCAAACACTGCAGTCAGATCTTTTAGAGCCCTTCCTGGATTTGAAGTTGCCGATTATTTATTATTCATTATTGTTTTCCAGAGACAATTTTACCAAAAGGATTTAGAAGAATTATACAGAAGGTACGATGACCAGTTAAGAGAGAAATTCATTCACATCTTCATATCTTTGCTGATTGTCTTCTCAACAATTCACATTATTCTAGTTATAGCTAGCACAATTTCTGCGGTATGTTAATTCGTTATATTTTTTTATCTTTCACCTACGTTACGTACTTCATAAAAATACTTATTAACCCGTTCATGGACAATACTTAAACAGCACCGAATATAAAAATATCACTTTTTTTCTTTGTCATGTAGTTTTTATATTGATTCAATACAAAATGTTCAATATAAATCATTGAAATTTGTCATCTACGCTGTTGATAATTTTCTATTGAGAAGCAGTAGGCGGCAATTACACAGAAGCACTTGAAAATCGCACTGTAAATCCCGTAGTTGGTTTTTTGAGATCCATATTGCGAAACGGGATACCCCGTAATAATATTCTGATATTTAATTCTATGTTAAACGCTGTTATTGTTCATGGACGGGCTAAATAACATTTGGTATCGTTAATTTTATAACTGCAGAATTAAATAATAAAAAATATGGATAGACTTATTTTTTAGTTGTTTACCTTCTATTTTATATTAAAATATGAATAATAAATACAAAAATGTTAGCGGTATATAAAAAAAATTATAATTCATGTAATTTCAGGAAGTCCAATGGCATTCGATGTATTTATCAATGGGCATGTACGTTTTACGAATAGCAATGGTATTATTATTTCTTGGTAAATGTATCTATGGTCCCTTGAAACATAAATATTCATTGATGCCGATTTTTGTTACTTTCATTGTAACAATCGGACTAGTTGTAACTGGTAAGTGGCTATTTTAAACTAATTTAGACATTGACTTACAATTATATGGACGTCGGTCCGCGCTAAAAAGTGTCCGAACTTATAGGGCGTTAAAATCGTATACAGAGCGTCATTCACGCTTTAGTCTTCGTTTGTGCGACTGACAGCAAAGCAAGCAAAATTAGACAGTACTGTGATGACATTACAATTTAAATTCAACGTTTTAACTTTTTCATATTCCTTTACATGTCACTACGTTTAAATAGGTTGACTTGGGACATTTTTTTTGTGGTTTTTGTATTAGACCCGTCGTCCATTTATTTGTAAGTCAATGAGTTTAGAGCTAAGATTTCACATACACACAGTCATTGTTCTGTCATTGCCGATAAACTGAATTTCGATAGTTTCTACTACTCCTGTATCTGTAACGGCGCGTCTTACAGACCTACAAGGGTCCGTAACGCATTTAGTACCGATAGCGTCCTATAGACCCAGCTACGGTAGCCCACAGCATACACAGCGCATAGGTGAAAGGAACATTATTTTTGTAATTTTAGATGTTGGGAAGTATGTAAAATTAATAGTAGTAAAAAGTACCCTTACTTACCCTTAATTAATGAGAAATTTTTCTTGTCTCTCGGAGGATGGATGCGTGACGGTTAATGGATGTTTATAAGAGTCGCCTCAAATTGCCGCAGTCAGGCACCGCGATGCGCTGCGTAATTTTGCTATTTTATTATCTTGCAATGTATATACCTTTCCACCGAAAACATGTTCTATATATAATATATTGCATTTTTCAAAGCCCGGCGCCGCAAACTGCATTTGCTTATTAATTTTTCGTTAAAAAAAATAATGGAACCTTATAATAAATAAGATAAAGTTTATGTCGCTCATTTTAATGCATTGCTCGATTACAATAACGACAGATTCTTATTCTTTACTCTTACTACAAGAAAAAAACATTTGTATTGTCTATTCATTATCGTTATATGTATACGTCGTCTTCTACAAATTACAGGTCCCTCTTAAATAAATTTTGGCAGTAGTAATACAATTGCCTTAAAAATATTTCAATCTTTTCCAGACATAGTAATCACCATATATAGTGCAACAGAAGGCATATCTGTAAGACCTGCGTACTCGGTAATGACACATCTTTCAATATACATCTTTCTGCCTATGAGGAGCAATTTTCTAGCCATAATTCTTGGGATCGCTGCAAGCACAGTATATATTATAATATTTGCCCTTTTCACGTATATTGATTACCCGATAATAGGTGCTATGGTAAGTACAAAAAGTCGAAGATTGCACCAATACATGTACTTATAACTACTGTTTTTTCATGTCACAAATGTCTTAATCACTATTTGACTGGCACCTTGGCAAACCTCTTCTTAGGCTTCTTACATTGCAGCGGAACGAAATGGAATGGAAACGTCAATTTCGCCATCGCTGCGCGAGAAGGGCTGCTAGAACGCTCGAGCATTCCAGCGACCGCGCCTTGAGGCTGTAGTATTTCGTCGACGTTTAACGTCACACTGCGCCTGCCCGCGTCACTTCCCGCGGATTCGTCAGCCGTCGCCAACGGCAGCTACGGAATTCTCGCGAATGCGTGAGTATTCTCGAGCACGCGCGAGAATTCCGCGAAACATGCGCGACGTGATTTTTGGCTCGTATCTAGTTTATACGTTACACAATTGACCACAAAGTTGATTACGCTATGTACAATATCGTTGCAAAAATTCGCTTCCATTCCGTTCCGCCGCAATATAAATTGTGCCAACAGTACGCCGAGAGCCACGTACTTTAGCTCAGTCCGCCATTTTCATGTGTGTTCCACCATTTTCGTAGGTCGTGTCAATTATCTCGAGCAAAACCTCGAAAATCGTGGAAAAATGCCGTATTTTAAATTTTTATATAAAAAATATCATTATTGCACTCCTAAGTAGCAAACTTAGGAGTGCAATAATGATATTTTTTTCTTTCTTTTTTTATAACATCAAGTGACAGGTCGAACAAGTCGTGCGCCTGATAGTAAGCTATGTAGCTTACTACTGTACTCAGAGCTTTAAATTGCAAAGATCTGGGGGCACTACCACTGCACCCGTCAACCTGAGACATAAATTGACTGTGCCAGTAATTTCACCAGCACCCATACCCTTCAAAACCGGAATACAGTAATACTGACATTACGGCTTGGCGGCAGAAATAGGTAAGATGGCAGTACTACGTACGTACTACTAGTTAAACGATCTCTTTCACAAGGAGCTATTAAAAATGATAGTCGCACCTGTATGTCCATGTCCATGGTATTTACAGGTATTGCGAGCCCCACCTACGGTGGGTATAGGGCTTTATCAAAAAAACTATTTAAATTGGTCCTGGTCAGGGTATTCTGGGTATTGCCTTCAGAATTATCGTTACTCTGGTACTCATAGTACAGGAAATTCCCTAGTTTGAGACCAGAAATTTGAAGTGATTGTCTGGCATTGTTTCCCTAAATGCATCTCTTTTTGGCATAGCTTCCAATAAAAAAGAATCTAACAGAGAGACGGTCGAGATACAACAACGCTATGAGTTGTATAAGTAAATAAGATATTATTTCCACTACATCGGGAAGTATGCCTTACATTTTGAACAATTGTGAAATCTAGTCCCCGTATACTGCCTACGTAAGGTGAGGCTTCGCCCTCCGCTAGACCTCGGCCTACGGCCTCGACAATTATGACTATGAAATTATGAAAAAAATTCTCTTTAATGGCGGCCATGTTGATAAATGGCAAAAAGTAAATTTTGGCTGCAAATTATTATTAAACACCCATAGAGAACCCCTCATGGCGATTTTCAGTAGAATTAGAGCAAAATTTTATCAACCGCTAAAAAGTTTGTAAGGCAGCCATATTGAAAAATGGCGAAAAATAAATTTTGACCGGAAATTATTATTTAACACCCATAGAAACCCCCACATGCCGATTTTCAAGTGAATTAGAGCAAATTTTCATCTACCGCCAAAAAATACTTCTATGGCAGCCATATTGCAAAATGGCGATAAACTAATGCTGATCACAAATTATTATCAAGTACTCTTAGAGACTCCCACATTTTTTAACACAATTTTGGAAGGGATCAGAACAATTTTTTTTCTACTGCCTACAAACGCTTGTATGGCTGCCATATTTGAAAATGGCAAAAAAAATTTTTGGCCCCAAATTATGATTAAGAACTCTTAAAGACCCCCGCATGCCAATTTTCAGTCGCATCTAAGCAAGTTTTTCTTCGGCCGCCATTTTGGATTCGCCATCTTGAATTTTTTCGCACAGGCAGTTGACCACTATTACCCTCTATGACATTCCTTCCAGCACCTCCTACCTATCTCTAATAGTTTCCGTTATACGTAGAAGGCTTCGAAATTTGTATGGCGGCCATCTTTATTTCATTTTCGAACATTTTTTTTATTTTCTGCAGAAATCGACCAAGGTGTATCTCATAAAAGTGCACAAAAATCCCCCCAAGTATTATAATACATTTTGTGCACGAGTAATCAACGGCCTGCAAAAACTATAGTTTTCAGTTTTATAGTTCACATTTTCCACATTCAGATCTTCTCATATTTGATTCTTTGCTTTGGAGCCTATCTGCGTACAACGGTATAAATATCTTTTTTCCACCATATCGGGAAGTACGCGGTCAATTTTTCTAAGTGAGTCAGGATTTGTAGCTTTTTATAGGTATTATTGCATGATATTTTGGTATTTTTATCTTCCGTGGGATTTACCATCCATTCTTCTCCTGACATTCACAATTTTCCACGGTCCGTTCTTCGTTATCAAAATCTACTATACAAATATTCTGTTCCAAGAACGGATTAAGCTAGATCTTATCAGTTAAACAGAGCTTTGTTTATCATAATCGATCTCTATTAAAAATCTATTAGTATTAGGTATTATTGCCAATACGTACAATTTTAATCTGGTTGGATCTATATATTACAAATATATAGAACAGCTGTAAACACCTACTACAAGCTAATCTCTATTAATTATAAGATTTATTACACCTAATTCGAATTAGTTTCGTGACTAGATCGTGATTAGAATTGTGTTAGTCAAGGATCGTACTAATTTGGAGAGGATCGAAAACTGCCTATAGCTATAGTTACGAATAGAGAAACTTGTGTAATAAAGTCTCAGCTTTGTGCCATAGCACAGAATGAATAATAGTGCCTGAGGCCCACTAAAGCAAAGCGGAAAAGGCATATTTTTCCAACCAATAATATTCCGTTATCTTGATTAAGCGTCGCGTTCGTGTAGATGCTAAAACAATAAAATAACTTTTTCGCTCCCTTTGGTAGATAATGGGTCTTAGTAATCTATTTATTTTTATTTATTAGATTCGCTAACAGAAATATTCTATTAAACATGGACATAAAATAACACAGCAGAAATGACTCGAGTGTAAACCCAATAATATGCAAATACAGCATATCCATATAGCATCGAATCAGACGCGTTTACTGTGTTAATTTACAGACCTACAAATGGGTATGATTGTAAACAAATATGTAAAATTATTTAAATTAATTTATACAGTTACTGTATTGTTCTTCTGAGTAGTTTTAAATTTATATAACGTCGACTTAGAGTAAAAACCTCGTAAGTGATTTCTATGTAATTTTTCAGGATTACTTACTCTCGGCAAATCGGTTCATAATAGCATTGAAGTCAACATTAGTTCTAAACCGTTTGGTATTAAAAGGACGAGAATTACTTTTACCCTGGCGTTGCGACGTGGAATACAAAACCGATAACTCTTTTCTTATTTATAAATACTGAAAGATTTATAACTTTCTATTTGATAAATACATGCGCAATTCGCCAACTCGTTTAACGGACTACAATTAACGAGTAGAACAATTAGTAAAAATTTATAAATATTTATAATAATAAGGCGCACACACTCATAGCCCCACACTAGGGAAACCCTGTATCGCGGGTGCCTTGGATACACACATAGACAACCACAAATTACACCCAAACTGAAGAGAGAAATAAATGTAGGGCATACAAATATTTCTCCCGGCACGGGAATCGAACCCGGGACCTTTTGCGTGGCACTCTAGCATGATAACCGTTCGGCCACGGAGGCAGTTTTTTCAGTTTAAATATTTATGTTTTGTACAATTAGTGCATGCAACAAGAGATAAGGGAATTTGCAAATTAATCTGTTACCAGTATCTAGACGAGAATAATTATGAAAGTGATTAATTTGGTGCATTGTAACCGCAATGGAATATTTGGACGTAGCTCGTAGTTAAACAAAAAGGATCCAATGCACATCCAGTCACTTTTGAGATATGGCAGTTTGAAGTTTAAAAATGTTTCTCACTCTTGTTTTATTTTCCAAACTTATGTCATGTAACTCCAAAGATATTTATTTATGTTTATATGTTGGATTTTTCGCTGATCTAAGAGGTTGGACTTTAGAAACCATTTGGTACATATAACTCATTCTTTGATAACTTTGTGAATTGGATCCTTTTTGCTTAACTACGTCCATGTTATAATCATAGGCATATCGTGTTCTTAAATTTTCGCGATCAATAAACATTGAATGAAACTATTTCATCAGGTTTGTTTGAAAAGACAAATATGCGTGATACAGAGTTCTTAAGTTTTCACATAATGTTACACATTTTTCGAAACTGTATCGCGTCTATTTGTTTCTTTTTTCAAACAAACCAGCGTTTCAGGTTCGGATGTTTTACCAATGATCCGCGACCATGGGACCTGTAAAGGGACCGAAATTGGTTTATTTAAAAAAACAATACAATATTAATATTAAATCTAATAGAATTATAACTTTTTTGTGAAAAAAAAACCGACCTTAAAACTTTATGGAATTACACTTATTTGCCAAATTTTTATTGCTATCAGTTCATGGAAAATAAGTGAAATTCAATAAACCGGTTTCATCTCCTAATTTGACAGCCTTAGAGGTGGAATATTTTCTTCAAACTTCTGACCACTACTGAGGTACCCTTTTTCCAACAAAAAAATAATCATCTAAGTTGATTCACAAATGGCGGAGTAATCACGTAAAACAGGCGAATTGAGAACCTCCTTTTTGAAAAAAATAATAATCAAAAATATTTCCATTTCTAAAATCAATCTTCACGAAGGCGAACCTGCTTACCTAAACAGACAATATTTACTACACGTACTATATCTAATTAGGTGAAACTTTTACATTGATGATTATAATAAATAGGTTGCACATTGATTCATTTTAAAAATGTTCTCTACCAACATATAAATAATATTCCATTAGGTTAGCATAATTTACTACTTTGTAAATTATCGGATACGATATAATTCCTTCATATCGAATTACAAATTAAATAACATTAACAAGTTATTATACATACAATAAATACCACTTATTAACTGAAATCCAGCATGGACTAGGCGCAACTGCGAGTTATAATGCTATTAGTACTGTCTAGAATTCTCTGTCTAAGAGGCGAAAGTCTTTTTCTAAGCACAGCAGCAACCTCATCTGTACGTGCTAACAAAAACATTTTCAATGCAATATGTGTTGGCCATTTATACGTAGTTCTAAATAGAATTGTACGCACGCTTACTACACATTACAGTAGAGCTCCTTGTGAAAAATTCGTCCAGGGAAATACTGCCACCTATTTAATTTCTGCCGCCAAGCAGTAATGTGAGAATTATTGCGTTTCTGTTTTGAAAGGTAAGGGTGAAATTACAGGCATACGGGACTTGTCAACTTATGTCTTAGGGTGACGGGCTATGGATTGGCGTTTCGCTTACCACGAGACGCGCGACTTGGCCGTCCCGTGACTTGGTATCATAAAAAAGAAATTGTCTGACAGTACGCCTTAAAGAGCGTCATTTTGGCCTGAAACTACAAGTATGTTTATTATATAATATATTATATTATATAACACTTTTGTTTATTAGAAAGGCAAAGGTTCCCCTGAAGCACGAGCAATGTCTACATTTGACAACCTCAGGGGCAAGGTGATTTGCTCTGCAGGCGCTAAATTTATTGCTCTTGAAATTTATCGTAATTTTGCTGCTCTTATGTCAACATCACGTAAGTGGTGTAGTTGTTATTTGTTATTATTATTTATTTAAAAATATAACCTCCAGATTGCTTCAGACATTGCCTACCTTTTGGGCGTGAATGTTATGGGCACATACTTCAGGCTTATGACCGAAATAGTCACACGAAGATCCTACCTGGATAGACGAGCTTGCGTCGAGAGCACACTGCAATTGAATTTTGTTAAAGAACAAGAGGTAATTTTAGTTATATTCAATTAAATTACTCGGCGAGACCCAGTTAAAGATGCGGTTAAGTTTAGTCGTTTACCAACGGCATCGACGAATACAAATACCGACTATATACAAATTACTAAGTGTCAATCAATCTTTTCCCCCGTACAGTGTTTTGTAATTTTATTACAACTAGAAACTGTTATGGATAGGGTGTACCTTACCATCAGGTGCACAATTTGTTCGTCCCGTCACTTGTTATCTTGAAAAAATGGCTTAGTCGATATACGAAGGGGAAAAAACATTTTTCGATATATACATTAATCACTAAATTACAAAAAACCGAAAAATCCCTTATGTTGCGTTTTCTCAAAATGCTGTTCTGCAGTCACAGTGTACTGGTTTGACACGGTAGTGTAGCCAATATATAACTGGGTTAATAAAACAATGTTTGGTAGTTGCCGAGTGATTAACGTCTGACGACTTCGATCAGCGACCATCTGTAAACAAAGTACGTCGTTGATATATAACGACCAAACGTAACCGGGCCTTCCACTATTATATATAGTGTAAAAATGTTTCATTTCACCTTGAGGGTGAGGCCAGATGAGCGTAATACTTGTGTGAGTCGCGTTTTTGAGTCTCGTAGTTTACGTTGAATTAAAATTCGATTGGAGCGCGAGACGTACGTATTTTATTTAGTAGTTTTTAAGCGTGTATGTCATATATTGTAATGGATCCACTAAAAATAGTGCTCATTTATGAAGCATCAGAAGACGATGTCAGAAAAAGAAACTCGGTACGTTCATTTAATATGAAAAGATTAGTTTCATGTACTATAACAAACTTTATGTGAACATATAGATCAATTTGTAAAGTACATACACACGCACCAATAAATGTTTATCACATCCACCCTCACAAGCACTTCACACAATGCGAGCGAAGTTAGGTCGTAATTACGCGCGTAAGTCGTGCATCGTCGTGTGTCACAAACCGAACCTTTATATGAAACTGAATGCGAAAATTACGCGACTCAAAAAACCACAATTCACAAGATTACGCTTGTCTGGCCTCACCCAAAGAGTTGACACTTATTCGACACAAGAGCGTTCAAGCTCAGCCTGAATTGCCTGTTTAAAACTAATTGTAAAAGCATATCGTAATGTTTCTACCAATTTCATCTACCGATCCTTTTTGGCAGGAACGCCTTATGTTAAGCATATTGCCGGAACACATTGTATCACGGGTGAGGAAAGACATCAGAGATATTCTGTTACAAAGTCGCACAGAATCTCACACTCTTAGCCACAACATGCGACATTTCAAGTAAGTAGCTTTTTAGCATTTTATGGCACCAGTCTTTCGTACAGTCTATTTATTACACCTAAACCTTACTTATGAAATTAATCTTACCCGTGGTAATGTAAAAAAATCGAAAGTACTTTTATGGGATAAAAGTAATACGAAATAAGTAAAATAAATTACGTATGTGTGAAATTTTATTACTCAACCATAAAAATAAATTAAGTATCTAGTAATTTAATGCGTAGAATCTTTAAACCTCTCTCCTCAAAAGTTGTTATTTTGCAGATGTGGCCTTATTACACCAAAGGTTCGTAATATTATTTTTTAACTTCAGGTATCTATTCAGTTTGTTTAACCACGCGCAACTTTTAACAATTTTGCAGTCGAGTATACGTGGAAGAGCACGGCAACGTTAGCATCTTATACGCTGACGTCGTTAACTACACGATGATATCAACAACTCTGTCTCCTTTGCAAATGATCGAGCTGCTCAACGAACTTTTTAGCAGATTTGATGACGCCTCAGAGGTGCGTTTTCTGGACTAATAACTAGACGAAATTTGTTTTTAATTACACTAGCTCGTAAATTTTTTTTTTTAATTTATTAAGGCTTTGGCAAAGCCATCAGCCTAAACATGAAGTTTAATTATGTTTCTGTAAATATGGCCGCCACAAAGAGGATAGGCAATTTGAAGCGGCGTGCTTGGATTGACTCGGGATTCCTTAAAACGGGCCGATGCGGGTATTTTAGTTCGAGATTCGTATAATTTCGCGTTTTAATCTTCGATTAAGGCACAATAGCACTATCCTATTCCACTTTAAACTAGATTTCACAAAATAATTGAAAGTCAAAATAAAAACATACTTTTCCCTCCAAAAGGTCCAGAGCGAATCCTAGCTCGTAAACAGTGTCATGACATATAGATAATTTTTTTTTTTTTTTTTCAAAATATAATTTGCAGTTTACACCTCACGCCAATAATTAACAAAAAGTTTTTATGCTCAAAAAATCTCAATGTATTTCACATATATGCTTGAAGTATAAAAAAATGTAAACATTTGCGTAATTTAACCATATTTTACTAATTTAATTTTATAAATTCAAATTCTGCAGTTTTTTAGTACCTACTTTGAAGTTATTTATTTTATTATTATTAATGACTATATACGTTTTTGCCTTTTACTACATTTTAATTCGAGTTATATTTATTATGCATGAAAGAATAACTATGAAAAAAAACGAAAAACCCGCCATTTTGAAAAAAAAATTTTTGTGTTGTGAAGCGATATATATTTATGTACAAAAAATAAATTGTAAATGTATTTATTTATTCACAAATGTGATGAAAAACATTGTTATGTAACATGGGCGGTAAAAAATTATAAACCTCGAGTCGTTAGGGCTAAGCCTTCGGTTTCGGGTTTCTAATAAATTCTCGTTAGTAATTCCTTATTTACTAATATTATAATAATTCCTTAAAACTAATGTTAGCAATAACTCTTATGTCTTATGTTAGCAATTCTCTTTCATCGTACAGGAACACGATGTCTATCGTATAAAATTCTTAGGCGACTGTTACTATTGCGTTAGCGGGATTTCAAAAGACGACTCTATGCATGCAAAGAACTGTGTTGATCTTGGATTGGAAATGATCAGCATCATTAAAAATGTCAGGTATGCACTTTTTTTATGAAGTCGTTTATGAATAATGACTATTTTCTTCAATTTATGGCCCATATCCAGAAAGAAAATTGAATTGTAAACGGCTCAATTAAGTGAAACGATCTTTTGTTTACATGCCTTTATTTGGATTTCTTATTGGAGTACTTCTGAGCAATTTCAATTAAAAAGACAAGGTTTCAGTTTATGGAACATATAAACGCATGCTTATTTATCACGATTTTGTCGTAGGGTGATGGTACCAGTGATCGACATTTAATGGAAGAGTGTCTTTAAATTTGAAATAACTTTTTGTTCTTAAACATGTCAATACTGATTCGTTTACTTGACAGATATAAGCCTCAAGAAAGAATATGTTGTAGTATGTTTCATAAAAATCTCCAGTAATGAACACCAAAAATTCACTAAATAACTAACCAGTAATTGACACTTACCAATAAGAAACGTGTTACTATGATAGAAAATTTTGCCCGAAATCTTATTAGGAATGAATTGAAAAATCGTCGAACAGCGCTTGTCGGTCACTGGCGCCACCACTTGACAGCAATGAGCAAGTCATTTCTGAATTGTGTCAAAAGCAAGTTAAAATAAAACAACGTTTGGCAGTTTTTTCTCATTATAATACAAAAAAGTTATTTAGTAACCTCGTGCGTAAAGTCATGTGTAAATTGTTTTTTTATGCTTACAAAACTATTATGCTGCTTAAAAAACTACGATTTTTGTATTACATAAGTACTGCGCAGGCAAAACTACGAACCTCCACTGGCTACGTCCCTAAAAATGTATCTTTGTACTTGATAATTACCTGTATACCTGCCTAGGCGAGGCGAGGCGAGTCGATACAAGGATTGAAATTTGTTTGACAAAATATCAATTGTCTCCTAGTCCAACTTCGGTCGAAATGATCTGTATAATACATAGAGCATTATACATTTTAACGGAAACATGATTTCTCGCTCGAGCTCGCGCATATTTGCGAGTGCCCGCACTACCTTCCGCGAGTTCGCGATGGCTATTAATATTAATCGCGAGGTTGTGGAGTACGTATGATTTGAGATTTTAAAAAAAATGGTTTCATCTGATTCCGTTAACATATTTAATAATAATAATTTACGGGACATGGTACTTCAGCTTTATTTATCGCTACGCAACTTTATTTATCGCTAGATGAACTGACCATCACTGAATCTTCACTGTCCACAAGCACAGTGATTTAAAGCTATTAATGGCAATTTTTGGTTGACATAGGCCGGCGAGATTTCAATTCTGTCTCTCCTCGTCTCGTCTTGCCTCGCCGGTGGAAAACCACCTTAATGCCTATAGAGTCATTCCAACGAAGATATTATAAATATAATAAATTGCACAATTTGCTTTTAATTGTACGATTAGAATACGCCCAATATTAATAACGTACATAATAATACATTTTGCATTGTTTATATTATAATAAATAACTACATTCTTTATAATGCAGAGAAAAACGCTCACTAAACATTGATATGAGGATTGGTGTACACACTGGAAGAATTTTAAGCGGTCTTATTGGTATAAGAAAGTGGCAGTACGATATTTGGTCGAAAGACGCTACCATAGCCAACAAAATGGAGTCTACGGGTGAAGTGGGGTATGTGGTAAAATTATAATGCCTCAAATAATCTTCGATTCAATACGCTACGTAATAAACGTAGGAAGATAATGAAATATAAAAACAAAGGTAAAAAGGCTAATCGAAATAAAAATTTCAGGTCCTTTCCGACCACGGTGATAGCTTTAATTTTGTTACTTAATGATTTGAGGACTATAAAATTAAAATGAAATAAAAACGTTTTATTTGGAACGAACGCAATAGAGAGCCTCACTTAAACCGTATTGCAATACTATCCAACAATAATATGTGGCAGTTTACTTGTCCGTAGTAGAGTTTATGTATTTTTCGTAACAAAATAAAGAAAAGAACAACACTAATTTCACAATCGCAATAAGTAATCCTTTAGTTTCTATTTTCAAAAACATGTCGTCCTAAGACCCGTCGTCCAGTAAAAGGGAACGGAGAAGAGCTAAAAACGTTTTCAAAATTTCACGTTGCATTATACTAACACCACAAAAGAAAATTAACGCTATAAAATCGATTTACTAGGTATATGCACTGCTGGCTATAATCTCGATTTTTGGCCAAATTGCACTGGTCGTGGTCACGTGGTCAGTCAGCCCGTGACTAAGGCGGGTGCAAACTGGCCAAAAAGTCGGGACAATAGGTGGGTGGGTGTGGTCACGTGGTCAGTCACCACATGACTACGGCTGGTACAACCTGGCCGAAAAGTCGGGATAATATTATGTCGATATGCGTACACCTACTAAACTGATATTATCGTGTTTATCACCGTTTTTAATGTTGTGTGAAGAATATGTAGCAAGCAATAGTGTTCATTTATTTTAACATATCTAGCGGTAACTGATACACAGCTTTGTCCACTCCGCATGGATTTTAGACATTATTTTGTAACAATTTTCAGAAAAGTCCACGTAACAAAACAAACTCTCGATCTGTTGTTAGACTACGCCCGCGAGTACATTATTGAGCCGAATTACCAGGCTCAGGAGAATCCATTCATAGTAAAGAACAAATTGGAAACTTATTTAATCTCAAGGCCAACAAGGGTAAGAATAAATCATTTTTCCTTCTGCCTTTAAACATAGACGTGTTTGATTTTTTTTAACTATATCTACGCGAATTAATGTCCGGGTCACGCATATGGTGATAGTAATGCCTTTAAGGTCTGGGAGCATTTGATTCGAGTACAGTCAGTATAAACATTAAAAACCTATCGACTAAGGCTCAATTTACTGCCCCGGTGAATGGTATGAAAGCTAATTTTAACAACCATAACATAATTAACGTTACGTTTATTGTGTAACGTACAAACTAAATACGAGCCAAGAAACGTATCTCGCGTCTTCCGGAGAATTCTCGCGCGATCTCGAGACGAGAGTATCTACCGTATCGTATCTAAGGCCCGAGTGTAAATTTGTAATTATTCAAACGTAACTACCACGTTTGCGTTAAGATTTTTATTTAGATCTTAATTATATATTTATAAGGTTTAAGTTAATATCTAAACGATAACAAACTTACACTAAGAGCGCTAGTTTGTACGTTACACAATTTGATATAAAGTTCATTATAGTATGTACAATTTCGTTAGAAATTATTCTAACTTTTTTAGTTACATCTATTTGCCAAGTTTTATTGAAATCGACTTACGGCAAGTGGGTAAAACCCAAAAAACCTTCATCATTCATCCACTAATTTGCCACCCCTACAGGTGGAATAATTTTTTTTTAAATTTAAATGGGATCACAACTGAGGTACCCTCTCTTCAACAAAAACAAAATCATCAAATACGGTTCACAAATATCGCTATAATCGCATAACTTTCTTTTTTTGAAGTCGGTTAAAAATAGCTTCCATTTCGTAACTATGTATATCAAGGATAATTATGTCCACCAACTGACTGTAAGGTGGTATGGTAATAAGGGAAAATGTATAGAGGTACTTATTTGTAAAATTAAATTGCGCTCTATAACTTTTAACATCGTAACAAACTCGTACTTAAATTTTCAGGCTCCATACGAATATAAAGCTTACCGGAGATTGTCTGTGGGTATGAATAAAATTATCAGGAAAAGAGTAAGTAGGTGCACACATACTGGACCCTTGGTGTAACAAGGCCACATCTGCGAAATTACAACGTTTCAAGAGAGAGGTTTACATGTTTTACGAACGAAATTAGTCGATAACTTTTTTAAGTATAAATAAGAGAGCTATAAAATTTGACATATACATAATTAAATTTGTTTTATGTATATCCTGTTATTTTTATGACTTTTATGTGATAAAAGCACTTTTGACATGCTTTTGGCTTTGTTATTACCAAGGGTACGGGTTTATTTAGTTTTATGTCGTTATTTTTATTCATACGTGGAATACCTCAAATCGATAACTCCAATGAGCACTACGTAAACTTAATTTTTTGAACCTGTTCTGTTTTTATTTTGTTTCTTGTTTCTGTTTTTTTTTTGTTTTCAGTTTCTTTATTTTTTAAATTTGTATTGAATTAATATTTTATTATTTTTTGTAAAATTACTCCACTAGTTTGTCATAATTATTAATACAAAGATCGAACATAAAGAAAAAATTCCTTCGATCCGGCCGAATTCGAACCGACGTCTTCTAGCAAACTGTGTCAGACGCTATGCTAAGGCGAACGGAACGTACCAGCGGACCTCAAGAATTTTTATATGAGCTTGTTGTCGTATCTTTGTTTTCGGTTTTCAACGACTTTCTTTATTTATTTTTTATTTTTCTTTATTTTTTGTTTCACAAAATCCGGGAGCATAATATTAGTAAATAAATATGGCTGTTTACAAAAATAACAGAGAATGACCAAAAATAAAACGGGGAATTGTTCATTGGAGGTATCGAAATTGCATACAAAAGCTACTTAACATTTATACACACGAAAAAGCACAGCTTACTTTAGTAAGTTGTTGTAAGCTTAGTAGTTGAGTTTCTGAGAGTTTGACTCAAGTTTTACTACAATGAATTCAATGTAGAATAAAACGATTCTACTAAACTCCTAATACCACACGCTTTCCCAATAGCGATCGGAAAATAGAAACTCAACAAACTTCCGTAGGACTACTACGTTCATGGATGAGAACCTCGTGGAGTACCAACAAATGTTGAGGGCTGCTGACGCGCAGATGGCTAATGAGATCGAGGATATGAGCAAAGGAAAGTGAGTTCAAATTTTAAGGATATTGAAGTAAATCTTATTCAAGATATACAACAAATAGATTCAGTATTTGTGGCCTGCCTCCATGGCCGAACGGTTACCATTCAGGACTGCCACGCAGAGCTCCCGAGTTCGATTCTCGGGCCTAGAGAAATATTTTCATGGCCTACGTTTATTTCTCTCATGAGTTTAGATGTAATTTATTGTTGTCTATATTTATTGTGTGCATTATCATTTATTTATTAATCGGTGCCTTTTTTATGCTTATATAGGAGAGATATAAAAGTTTGACATAAACATATATATTTGTGGACATAAAATTTGATTCTCCACACGATAAAGAAACCAACACGATAATGAAACAATTAAAAGATGGCACCGTGAGCCAACCATTGTGACACACCCTCCAATATTGCGTAATTTTTAATTGTGATCGGAATTCGACAAATGAGCACGTGTGTCATGTCTGTAATAAACTTTAATCTATATATAAACTTTAATACATTTTTCACGGGAAGTAAGTAATCCGTTTTTCATCGATTCTGAAAAAAAAAACTTTTTTAGTTAATACGCTGTAAAATATTGTAATAATTGTGCGATATTGTGATTATATTATTAAAGATCAGAAGTAAGGATATTTGATAAAAATTCCTGTATTATTCGAAAAAAAAGTAAACATAATCAAACCTAACTTTATTTATACACGATTTACAAATTTAGTAATTAAGCTATCACAAAGGAATATGCAACTATTAGTTTAGGTCCGAAGCCAAGCGCCGCGCCATCGCCAGAATGGTCGTACCTTCTTCTGTCTGCTACTCTGCTCGCTGCTGCTCAGAGTGTTCCCACTCCACTCCGCCTCCTGAGTTTCCAGCTAATAATATTATATTATATGCAATGACATTGCTGCTTAGTGGCAGAAATAGATTAAGTGACAGTACTTCCCTGGATTAACTCTTTCACAAGAAGCTCTACTGCTACTAAACGTTACTAAATTTACGTGATAAAAACACTTTTGACATATGATCACATGTGGCTTCATTATACCAAGGGCACAAAATGTTTTAGTATCTAATTCGAAATATCCTGCTTAGAACTAGTACTAGTAGAGCTCCTTGTGAAAGAGTTCGTCTAAGGAAGTACTGCCTTACCTATTTCTGCCGCCAAGCAGTAATGTGAGCATTCCGGTTTGAAAGGGTAAGGGTGCTGGTGAAATTACAGGCACATGGGACTTGTCTACTTATGTCTCAGGGCGACGGGCGCAGTGGCAGTGCCCACAAAATCTTTGCGATTTAAAGCTCTGAATGGCACAGCAACTGTTATGGATAGGCGTGTCGCTTACCACCAGGTGCACGACTTATTCGTCCCGCCACTTGGTATTATAAAAAAAACTAAATATCATCCTTTAGTATGTTCTATGTTCTAGAGATCTATTCAGAACGGAGGCAAGACTAAACAGATTCACACTAATGTACAAAGATTGGAAAATGGAAAAGAATTTCCTTTTGTTACCAGATCCATTGTTCCAATATTATATTACATGTTGTCTTCTAATATTCATGTTGATATTAGTTATCAATGGATTTACTACTAATTGGTATGTAATTTTTATTACTTTGATAATTTAAGTTATCTAACATGCCTAATCAGTCCCGTACAAAATTGTGACTTTTATTTATTTATTTTACTTTGTGAAATTACTCCACTAGTTTATTGTAATTATTAAATACGATGAAAAAATCCTTCGATCCGACAGAACTCGAACTTGTGACCACGGAATTCCGTCCCAATTGCTTTACCAGCTAAGCTAAGGTCGAGTTATCAAGACGAATTACTTCTAGATCTTAGCATTGGATTTTCGGCTTTCAACACCGTAAGGCTCAACTCACACTGGCGCAAAGTCGAAGCGTCGCGTCGCGTCCTATTTGTCGCGCGATGACACTCGCATTAGTGCGCCCGGATCACAGTGTGGTCGGTGTCTCACGCCTCATTGCGCTCAAGTGCCGCGCGGTGACGTGTGTCGACGCGCAAAGCCGCTCGACTGCATCCAAGCGTCGACGCGCGTTTCCATATTTGCATAACACAAATTTGTACCTTAATAATGGGAAAATAGAGATGAATATACTATAGGCGAAAAACATGACGCGTCGCGACGCTTCGACTCTGTGCCAGTGTGAGTTGAGCCTAAGCGACATTTTGTTAGAGATTTTATGAACCTTCTCACTCAACCGGTAACTCGAGCTGACATTGATGTGACATTTTAGGAACATGTATTATTGATTTGTTTTATTTTGTGAGTTATTCCACTAGTTTGTCATAAAATTATTAAATACAAATATCGAACATTGCCGGATCGAACGATTTTTTCTTTGTGTTCCATTTCTGTAATTAATAAATTATAACTTATTGCTTTTCATCTGTTTTTACATGCTATTGAATTGGTAATAGAAGATGAAACGTTAGGTAATAAAGCCGCGCATACTACATAATAATAATAATAATAAATTCGTTTATTTATCTCAACACATAAATAAATAAATAAATATAAGCTTTACACAGTGTCTTTAATAACACCAATAGTGGTGGGAGATGAAAAGATCTGTAACTCAACACAATGGCGGAGTGTTTCTCAGCGCCGCTGATATTCGCTACAGTCTGCCATGTTCATAAAAAAGAAAAAGAACTAACACAAATAATCATTCTAGTTCTAAGATTTCAAGCAGACTATTATATACTTACCACAAAATATGATTCGTTAAATAGACATTAATATTACACACAGAGCACTATCCACACACAACTACACTACAATGCCACACCACACATTCCTCGTTACCAAAATCCCCAACTTTAAAAGATATCATAGATATCATCTCCTTAAATATCAAAAGTCCGTAGTTAATTGAATATTGGTCACTATGTATTGAAATTTATTTCAGGCTTAAAGGTTTCAACAAGTACACTTGGTTGACATATGGACTTCTCGTAGTTGCATTAATAATCATGCAGCCTTTGACTTGGTTCGAATTTATATGGACAACGTATCGAGGAATTATAAAGCCAACGAATAAATACCTATGTTTCATGTACAGCATATCACGTACAATAACAAAGTCTGCGAAAATAAGGACAATAATATACTTACTCATCAGTGTTGGGCTCGCTGCAACTTCAATTGTTAACGTCATATCGTGCACAGAGGTTGAAAAGCTGCTTTCTACGGAAGTAGTTTTATCGAACTGCGTTTCTTCATGGGTAATGACTACGTTTTACAACTTTGCCCGCCTAAAACTCATCTTGCGTACTCTACATTGTTATTTACTTAGAACATTATCTATTAAAAAAATTTGATAATCTTGACGCGTTTCCATGACTAAACTTAATATTGCGTCGTTTTATAACTAACCACCATTTTTATCACTCTTTATTTCACCAATTCGCAAACGTTGTTTTTTTTAACTTAGCCTCTATTCAGTCGTCTCTGTTGTATTGTTTTCTATTTTTGTATTATATTCTTTTCTATACTAAGATGTTATATTATTTTTTTAGCACGTAACACAATGTTGGGTGTTGGTTCTACTTCTGAATTTTCTCTTCAGTCGAGTGTTTTTCATATTCAAATGGATTGTTGCTGGAGGAATGACCTGCTTCTATCTTTACGTTATATGGGATCTTAAAAGTGCCCTTTTCAAAGAAGATGCAACTTGGAACATAGGCCTTGACCCTAGAATTTCACACACACTTACCGTGGTCTTCATAACAATGACCCTGTACTGGATTGACAGAACTACGGAATATAGGAATAGATTGGACTATTTATGGCAAGTTCAGTTGATTGATGAACAAAAAGAGGCTGAGACCATGTTGGAAGTGCATAATATGCTTTTGGACAATATTTTACCTGCACATGTTGGTTAGTATTTCTTTTTTTTTATAATATCACGTGACGGGACGAACAAGCCGTACGCCTGATGGTAAGCTACATGCCTATCCATAACAGTCACTCAGAACCGTAAACTGCTAATGCCCCCGTCACCCTGAGACATAAATTGACAAGTCCCACGTGCCTGAAATTTCACTAGCACCCTTACCCTTCAAAACCGGAACACAGTAATTACATTACATTACTGCTTGGCGGCAGAAATAGGTAAGGTGGCAGTACTTCACTGGACGAACTCTTTCACAAGGAGCTCTCCTGCTACTTTGTTTTTATGCTAATTTTTAAACTTTGCTGAATGCAGTAGCGACAAATGGGTTCTAGTAAATAAATATTTTGTTTTATCATTATTTGAAATATGTATTTTTCATTATGATGATGTTATTACTACCACGATATTCTCGCCTTGGCCTATAGCTCAGTTGGTAAGAGTGACGGCCCTGGGGGCCTACTATAAGCACTTAGAGCAATCCTATTCAAGGCTGTAAGTTGTACTATGACCTCACAAAAACAATTCACGGTCCATGCAGTTTACGTTCCCCATTCGAAATCCGTTCACCTTTTCTTTCATAGCAAAATCGTATCATGACGTGCCAATTGCCATTGCAAACGGCGGTCTTATTTGTAAAAATAAGCAATTCAAAAAAGTTAATCCGTGACTAACTTTTTTTAGATTTTATTACATTTTTAAGAAATTTCGTTTAAGTTTTATTATATTTTTAGTTTCATAATTACTTGTTACCTTTATAGACTATATAGCCAATTGTCAATAAATAAATACTATTAATCTAGTGACCGTTTGTTGAAAATTTTAGTTCGAGTACCCAATCTTTAAAGTATTGTTGATATAATATTAGCATGAATGTTATTGCAATTTTAAAATGGAATTTTAATCATTTTAATAATTTTATTGCCATTATTATTCTCATTTTGAACACAATCAGTTAATGGTGCTTGAACGCTCCCAGGTTAGTACATATGTACATCTCTATTTCATCGGTCTATTTCTTTCATATGATTTGTATGTAGTTCCATCTCGCTCTTGTTAGATGTCAGCCAGCCAGCCAGAGACAATAATTAACATTTAAAAAGTAAAACTCATCATCCTGTCATGCCGTTCCCGTTTATTACCACGTCAAGTGAATTGCGTGGTTATTTTTTTTTTATGAAGGATATTTTGCAGTTGGCCGCTGATGGCCTTTATTGCGCCACCGGTGAAAAGGGCGAACTGAAGGCTCATAACCCCTGAATTGCATGGAACTTGGCTGGCTGCTTATAAGCTCGTAGTGGGCCCCCTGGTGTGAAAAATGGCGCTGTTTAAGCGTGAAACACACAGAGAGCGGGTGCGGGTCGAGTCTAATTCCGTGTATTTATATGGACGATAGAAATTTTCTTTGTGTTGTTGAGTGTTTGTTTCAATAATAATAACAAACTAGTGTAGTATTTTCACAAAAATACATGACTATCATGATAGGAAAAACATCATGATATTCAATAAAATAAATAGTCGGACTTTGAAATGTAGTACTCATTACCCTTACACATACGTGCCGGAGGAATATGTTTATTAGTGTAAGCACGCACGGATGTGCGTCTCTCTCTCTCTCTCTCTCTCTCTCTCTCTCTCTCTCTCTCTCTCTCTCTCTCTC